GGTCTACTCCATGGAAGTCCAGGGACATAGCCATTATGCCAACTGCTGCCCGCATCTTCTTTTTAAAAGAATTATTTTTATTTATTTAAATCTGACCAGAGAGGGACTGAGAAAGTGAGAAAGCAAACTGTCAGGTCCAGGACGTGAACTGCAGTCGGCCATGTGGGTGTACAGCACTCTTAACCACCACTCCACCTGCAGTCCCCGACTCCTGTCTTTTTTTTACACAGATCTGTCAAGGGTTTGCTATGTTGTCCAAGCTAGCCTCGAACTCACAACCCTCTTGCCTCAGCCTCCCAGGTCTCTGGGATTATAGGTACACACCACTGTGCTTCTCCTTTAGGCTGGACCAGGAATTGAACCTGGGCCTCTGATATGGTCCCAGCCTGCTTGAGCACAGTCTTAGCAGAGAATGCCACCTTGACTGGGCATCTAAGATTTTATTTTTGAGGAATTATTTTAGGGACCAGCAGTTGGTGTAATGGCTATGTCACTGGACTCCCATGTAGTCAACCATGGTTCAAGTCCCAGGCCCAGTGACTTAAACTCACGCCCGGCACATGTGCATGCATGCCCAAGATCCCAAGAGGAGAATGGAGGAAAGGGAATTGGGGCGTGGCCCTCCCCCACAGAGAGAGACATAGAGACAGAAAGCGAGAAATCACCTCCCAGGGAGGATGGTCACGCCACAATCCCTTCTCCTCCATTCTCCTCTCGGGATCTTGGGCATGCACGCACACGTGCCCGGCGTGAGTTCTAAGCCACTGGGTCTGGGATGCAAACCGCGGTCGAGTACGTGGGAGTCCAGCGACATAGCCATTATGCTAACTGCTGGTTCCCTCATTATTTATTTTTTATAATTTGCTACAGGGCACATGCATACACCAGAGAGAAACAGAGAGAGGGCAAGTGAGAAAGCAAACTGCCAGGTCTGGGACTCAAACTGGGGTTGACCATGTGGGAGTTCAGTGCCTTAACTACCATGCCATCTGCTGGTCTAAGGTTTTTTTTTAAAGAGTTTTTTGCTATAGGGCACATGGGCTTGCCGGAAAGACAGAGAAAGACAGAGAGACAGAAAGTGAGAAATCACCCTTTGGGGGTGGGGGGGCAGCCATGCCAGCAATCCCTTCTCCTTCATTCTCCTCTTGGAATCTTGGGCATGCACGCACATGGGCCTGGCGTAAGTTTAAGCCACCGGGTCCGGGACTAGAACTGTGGTTGACTACATAGGATTCCAGCTACGTAGCCATTACACCATCTGCTGGTCCCGGTCTAAGATGTTTTTAAAACAGAAATGTACAGGCACACATTCCATTAGCCATGAGAGTAACAATATAATCACACTTCACTAAGTCTCTGGAAAACTCCACAATGTACTTGTGAGTGAGTGACAGAGAGTGAAGACAATGGACTTTTTTTTTTTTTTTTTTTTTTTTAAAAAAAAATGCTCACCACAGAGAGACAGAGAGACGGGGGGGGGGGAGTGAGAAATCATCTCCCAGGAGGATGGCCATGCCATCATTCCCTCTCCTTCCCTCCATTCTCCTCTTGAGATTTTGGGCACACACACACGTGCCCAGTGTGATTTTCAAGTGGCTAGGTCCAGGACTTGACCCAGGCAGCCAGCCATGCTGGATCCAGCCCCTTAATTTCCACACCACCTACTGGCCCCAGACGCCATCTTGGTAGACATATTATGAAAACAGTTTTGACCTTGTGGACTTCTAAGAGGAAGGTCCCTGGATCATGCACTGAGAACCACGCTTGCACTGAAGCATGTGAGGTGTCTAATTTGCTTCCAGGGCCTCCTACACAGTGGGTTTTGTTTTTTTTTTAGATAGATTTTATTTAACTTTATTTACTCATTTTAATTTTATCAGAGAGGGACAGAGTGAGAGAGAGACAGAGAAAGAGAGGGAAAGCGAGAAAGCAAGCTGCCAGGTCTGGGACTCAGACCGCGGTCAGCCATGTGGGAGTCCAGCGCCCTTAACCACCATGCCACCTGCTGGTCCCCTACACAGTGTTTTTATTGCCACGGGAAAGTGCAGTGCTTGGCAAATAACTGCTCATGGTAGTCCTTAAGGCTTGGGGTTCCCTGCGGAGTGGGAGGAAGAGTCCAGCAAATGTAAGGCCACCTTGGGCTTCCAGGAACAGTAGCCTGGGGTGGGGGAAGACTAGTCACTCAGACTTGGGGAGGGGGTGGTACCTTTGGGGAGGGGGACTGAGGCACAGCCAGGAGAAGAGTCTATGGGGAAGTAAGAGTGAGATGGGAGGCCAGGAGTGGGGACACCCAGGCAGGGGAAAGGGGCCATCTTGTTTCCGTCCCTCTGACCCTAAAGGGGGCTGTGAGGGGTTGGAAGCGGGCACCACGACATCTTCAGACCCTGACCTTACCGAGGGAGTTGTTGCTTGTGTCCAGCATGCATTCCTGTCCCTATGACTCGCGATCCTGTGTGTGTGAAAGAGACAGAGAGAGACAGTGTCAGGCTTTCCCACGTGGGTCTTGTCGTAGTGCGGAGTAAACCTTTTGTGTGTGCCTTTATGGGCGCGCCCCAGATGGTGATTTACAGGGGTAAGATGACCCCTGGTGGCCAAACTGGAGAACTGACCCAGATTCCTCAGCGATAGCCTGCAGTCAGGTCCCTTCTCCCTCAGGGCGGAGGTTAGAGCCCTGAGCTGCTCTGGAAGAGGCTGGCAGTTGGCACCTGTGTCACTTCGCGTCATTCTCAGGGTTTGAGACCAGTGCCTTTGTTGTCCTGCGAGCACCAGCAGCATCTAACTACATAGTCCAAAATTTCAGCACTTCGTCCTATCCAAGTGGAATTAAACATTTTTTTCAATAGATTTTTTGCTATAGGGCATGTGCACTCACCAAAGAGACAGAGACAGAGGACAGTAAGGGAGACATCACCCCCCAGGGTGGGTGGCCATACCACAATCCCTTCTCCTCCATTCCCCTCTCAGGAAACTCATCCACCCAGTGTGAATTTCAAGCCACTGGGTCTGGGACTCAAACCATGGTCTGCCACGTGGGAGTTGAGTGCCCAATCCACTACACCATCTGCCGGCCCTTGAATCAATTTTGTCAAAGAATTATTTTTATTTAACTTTATTTATTTATTTATTTATTTAAATTTAACCAGAGAGGGCCAAAGCAAGAGAGAGAAGGAAAGTGCAAGCCACCAGGTCTAGGACTCAAACCCCAGTTGGCCATGTGGGAGTCCAGTACCCCTAACCACCATGCCACCCTCTGGCCCCTGAACCATTTTTTTTACTTTTATAAACAGGTATGCAATGAATTTTTTTTTTTTTTTTGGAGAGATTTTCACCGTAGGGTGCGTGCGCTCGCCAGACAGACAGAGACATAGAGACAGAAAGCGAGAAATCACCCCCCAGGGGGGATGGCCACGCCACAATCCCTTCTCCTCCATTCTCCTCTCGGGATCTTGGGCACGCACGCACACGCGCCCGGCGTGAGTTTTAAGCCACCGGCTCCGGGACACGAACCGTGGTCGACTACGTGGGAGTCCAGCGACATAGCCATTACGCTAACTGCTGGTTCCCAGGTATGCAATGAATTTCAAAGTAATTAAAATTCACAGCACAGAGGCCAGCAAATAGTGTGGTGGTTAAGATGTTAGACTGACTGGTTCAAGTTCCAGACCTGACAGCTTGCTTTCTCACTTTCTCTCTGTCTCTCTCTGGTGAGTGCATGCACCCTACAGCAAATTAAAATGAAAGTAATAAATACAATTACATAAATAATTATTTAAAAGGAAAAAAAAATACTCCTGGGACCAGCAGTTAGCGTAATGGCTATGTCACTGGACTCCCATGTAGTCAACCACTGTTCGAGTCCTGGACCTGGTGGCTTAAACTCACGCCGGGCGCGTGTGCGTGCGTGCCCAAGATCCCAAGAGGAGAATGGAGGAGAGGGGATTGCGGTGTGGCCATCC